GCTTGAGAATTGAAGAAATTTGTATGCTTAATTTTTTTTTTCATTCAACAGTAATTAATATCTCGAACTGACGTCCTCTCCAAAGTGAAATTTTTAAACGTAACTTTTATTCAAGTACATCTCATACCTATAGACTACTCTTAAGCTTATGCTCTCGAGATGAGGAAGTGGCGAAGTACCGTTAAAAGTACCATTTCGAAAGATAACTGTCGAGTTCATATAATATACGTAGGAAGAGTATGAATAGTGGCCGCTTTGGATGGATTCACCTATTGTGACTACAAATTAATATAGTCGTGTAAACGAACTTTGTAGAATTTCGATTGCGTATGATTTTTCCTACCTCGTACTTTGTCCAAGTGACTTTTTTTTTAGAAAACCTTTTAAAATTCTTCACAAATTATCTCGTGCAAGCTAATCGAACTTTTCAAGGCAGTCGTTGCCTTTTGTCATTGCTATGCAGTCGTATATCGTGTTTATGTCCTGTGTGCCCTAATTCAAGTTATTTTTCAATGATGGACGTTTTTTTTTTTTGTTAATTTTGCCTCGAACGAATAATCGTTATTTTTGTTAAATATCGTAAGATTAATTTTTTTATTCTTTAACGATGTGTACACATATTATTGCACACCATTTTTTTCTTAATCCCTGTCATTTGCGTGCAAACGAAAGGTATCGTGTCGTAATCAATTTTACAGGTTAGATAATTTTCATTTCGTGCATACCCATGTAGTCGATGCATGCAAAAGTATCTCTCGAACGCACCTGCATTATTCTCCGCTATATTATTAACGAAACCGATGTTTACAATGTAGCAAACTACAACACTTAAGCAGCCAAGCGTCGCGTGACGCGATACGTGACGTTGAGTTCAAAAATTTTGTTAAATCTTGTATCATTAAATAACGTATATGTCAACTAAAAACTATTATTCTCCAGTGAAAATGTTTTAACACAGAAATTGATTGTTGAATTACAAAATTATATTTGAGTTTAAGAAAGTCTCGCTGTTAACAAAGATTCACCAGTTTTAACCACGAATATTATACTCCAGCTGAGACATGCATTGCGGGACACACAGTATAGTGAACCTTCGAGGAAATTACGAGATAAAGTGACTCCGTTACGTTGAAAGTCATACAAAGTTGGCCCCTCCGGAAGACACGCATGCGGACCATAGCTCAATAAAAAATGCACAGTCACAAGTCCAAATTTTTCGGAGAAATAAAATATACTTCGATAAAAAATAATCCTTGTGGAAATTTGAGTAAACAAAAATTGCAATCCCTTTCTAGAGACTTTGTCGTTTTCGATCTGTCCAAAAAACCACATTGAACTCGTGAACCGACCGTATACCCACCTAAGCGGTTACCGTTGGCTGTCAGAAGTACTAGAATACGAACACGTGTATTATATAAGTAAACAGTCATTTTTTTGGTTGTCCAAAGTATAATCCAACTGTCGTGCCTTGTCGGAGTGGAGGCACAAAGGTAAAAAAAGGCTTATAAAAAAAAAAGGCGAAGCCTCCGGTACACTTGTACATACACTTAATTCCTGGGTAACAGCACTGTGGCTTTGTCAGTTGGGTCTTATATGTGCAATTACACTAGGCTCCCTTTGTTTCGCGTTACATTGTAATACGGTCGGAAAAATAAGTTTTGACGACGCGTTACTAAGTAGATGCGTCGATTACACGCATATCAGATACCTTGTTAACGGATCGCTTAAACAAGTAATACAATTGACATTATATACACATATACAATATATAGATACAGAGCGTAGAAGCAACTTGCATATTAAACAAAGTGGCACGTAAAGTGCGTTATACTAATTCAAATACGCTATACTGTCTACGATGATAATTTAGCGGGGCTCGTTTTCAGAAATAGTCATTGTCACGCGAGCAACCAGGAAACAAAGGGATCGATTCTTGTTACGGGACCGAACGAACGTCGCGAGGCTTAGGCTTTGTTTGCATAAGCGTTAATCGTCATTTGGATAAAGGATTATATTCGCTTTAAGTTAACTTTTATGCTCGGTGAACAATGTCCGCGATGTAATCAGAGACATCTGGTTTCGTTGCTCGGCATAGAGCACCCAAAGTTCCAGAGGCCTACAGACGGTTTATTGACATCCGTATGACACGATGCGTGACGAGGATACGCAGTGGGATTAAGGCTGTATTACTTTTCTATCAGACTTTGTATCAGACTGACTATATTTAAAAATCCATATGGATTTTTACTTGTATTTAACTTTAACTTTAACTTATAAATATTGTCGTTATTTATTTCACATATATTTCACTATTTTTATGAGGTATAGGTAGCTACCGTACAGCTGACAGATCTTGTGTAATATGTGAAACGAAATTTTTTTCATGTATCTCAATTACCGTATAATATTTGAACGCCGATCGAGTTCACGGGAATAAGTACAAAATTGTGTAAATGCAAATAAAAAATGTATAGTAAGAGAATGAAGAGAGATATTAAGATAAGGATTTAATCTAATATTATTGAGATTCAATGAAAATAGCATACAGGGGACAAAAATTCGGTTATTTTTTATTGATATTTAATATGGGCAGATACCTGTATACATATATGTATGTACGTACAGTCGATGCAAGGCTAACAGCCACTTGTGTACAATTTAATATTATTCATTTATGTATGGTATACATAATGGCTACATAAATGTATCTTCATATTGCTGACACGATTCTCGAATCAGCACATTTCAGTAAGAAGAAAGGGAACAAGAAGAATATGACTTTGTACAGAAGACACAGCAAGAGACGAAGATACTTTTCTTTTTGAACAGTGTATTTTTAGCCTTACATGCTTCAAGGGAAACCTGTTTGTCCCGATGTATATAATTAGCGTCGTTACAATTCAAAATAAAATTATCTCGCGTGAAAAATGAAGTTTGGGTTAAAATTAAATTTTCAGCCGCAAACATAAGCAAGAGCTGGTTTGGTGAAGGTACTTTATAGTTTCCTTGAGATGGCTAGGTTAGGTGGGAAATAAATAACGAGTCAGAAAGAAACCGAAGAAAGGATGAGAATGATTCGAGTGAGAGAGACGAAGACATTCGGGTGGTAGACGAAGAACGAAAAGAGAAGTCAGAGACGGATGGACCTGTTTCTAACTGATTCCTCAGGTTCCTTAAGTTTGTTTCTGGTTCCCATTACGTCTGGTTCCCTCCTGGTTCCCTCCTGGTTCCCTCCTGGTTCCCTCCTGGTTCCAGTCCCGACTCCCCTAATGTATGTACTAGGACCGAGAGTGAGCTCTCCTCGGCTCCCTTCATCGTCTGCTACATCACTTAGATGGTCCTGCTAAGCTTGTCCCTAGCCTAGGGACATTGCCGATACGCCCTCGGTCACGTAGGCCTTGGGCCGCTTCACGTCAAGGCCTTTGAACACAAAGGGCCTTGACGTCATAAGTGGCCACGTGATTCCACATGATCTTGCACGATAGAGCGTGATCTCTTGCTGTCCTTCTATACTTACTTTGCTTCGGGCCATTGCTATATGTAATAAGGATTATCGGTATGGGTATGTTGGTAGCCATGATTTCGCAATTCTAATCCAGTTTATACGAAATTATTATAATCAACAGGGATAAATTTGGAGGTGAGGAGAGTGGAGTGACTTGAGTGTACCGAAACTCTGTTCAAATGTTGTACATTTGATTTGGGCGTTGGTAGTAGAATAATGGAGTTGTGATTGTGATATATGAAATATGGCTCATTGAATAGATCTGAAAGGGCAGATAGATAACGGTCGTTGAATTGAAAGTTGAAATGCATATTTCTGAGACGAAGTGATTTTTTTGGGATTGGGTTGGTGCGACGATTTATTTTTGGAGTTTGACATTGGGTGTGAATATTGGAAGAAAAGGAACTATGGCCTGTAGCTGAATTATATAAATGATACTTGAACTCCTGTAATTTCGTTCGACCCAAGGAAATTTTGGGAAGTGTAATACAGTAGATTGAGTAATTGATTCTTGAGTTTGGAGCAACTCAGATGTGATGGATCGTGGAAATATAACGAAACGTCTATTCATATATTTTATGCAGTTCCTTAGACATTCTGCGGTAGTCTTGCGTATCATAAATATATACATACTATATTTCACGTGTCTTTAACCTCTTGAATTGGATGAAGGTACAAGCGAAAAATCAGACTGATGTTTTAGTGGCGCTAACTGGTGACTGGTTAGAAAAGTTAACTTGAAATGTTGGGTCGTACTACATGAAGCTGAGGGGTTAAGACTAAATTAAGAGTAATACCAAAAAAATGGCATTGCGCATGCGCGTAAGAAATTTCATCGATTTTGCCATCTCGCGGTAGTACTGATAACAGGTCAACCAAAAATCTCACAGGTACATTTGCTATTTTCATTTATCAACCTTTCTTCAACTGGTTACCGAACATTTTTCATAGGTCTGGATCGGTTTAAGTGATTTCAGTGAAGTAAACCCAACAAAATTTACTGAAGTTAACGTCAAATTTCTTAAAAGAAACCAAAACTTCTTTCATGACATTTAATGTGATATCTTAGAGGTTAATTTTTACAAAATGTCTTATTCTGTTCAGACTAGAGTCTAATTTATTTATTCACCTACTTCAAGGCTACCAACGTTTTTTTATTATTAGATCACATAAATCTAGGTAGCGAGCATCACTAGTTAACTTTACCAATATGTCATAGTCCGAACCAAGGTTAACGTTATATCACACTGCAATGACATTAGGGTGATATAATAAAAATTGGAATGTTTTTCTATCATAAAATTAAACTATATATATCGCTAATGACGGGGCTTCATATTGAATATTGATAATCGATAAACGTAATCAGGATTGAGCGTATATTATGCTATTATTATTTGTATCCTCTGCACAGAGTATTTTTTATGAATATACATAAATGAAAAAAAAAGATGAAAGAAAAAAAATAAAACTGCCTAACATCAAAGAAATAGCATAACTATTGGTTATGTCGTTTATTTATGACGTCACGTCCGCCATTGACACCTCCAACACTTCCTTCTCCCGTTGCGTCCCGAAATCTTCCGATTTTACCCGACGACGACCGAAGCGTTTAGTATATACAGTGGAATATACATATTGACTTTTGAAAATATATAAGTAACACTAGACATATACATAAAACGATCAAAAAGTTTCCTTTCTTTTACATTTAATAATACAGTGTTCATAGTATCGCAATTATTAAAAATAATTGGAACATTCATTAAAACTTTCTTTTACAACAGTTTTGGGATCTATTCCTTAGGCATTCGATTCGCCGTCGATTCTTGCGTCATGCAACAGGTCGTCGACACGTAGGTGAAAGACAGAAATTTTGTTGACGTCTTAACTATATAATTTAAACGTAAAACTGAGTCATTTAAAGATAGAGATTAGATTCGAGATAGAAACTGAAAATAGGATAACATTTTTTTTCGTTTCCTAAATGCCTGATCATTTTTATAACGTGACTTCCTTGTCGAATGAATTCCTGCGAAACAAAGTCTTTCTAGAATTAAGCATAATTTTCAAAGGATAGCGTTTCTCTGTAGGCTGTAATTCGGTAATGATATTCTTAACTAACGATCAAGTTTCTCGAGACCAAGATTAGAATTCGAATTTAATTCTTTCAATGTCTCAGCTTAACCCAATAAGGTCTACGGGCTCTGAGGTACTGCCTATAAAAGGAATGTATAACGAGTGGATGCACAACCAGTTTCCCAGTGCTATCTTACTGTTCAACGAAATGCGTGCCTATCGCGCCCTTGAAATTTCCATATACCCTTACGGGTAATTTTAAGTGCTTAAAAGAATGTTAAAGTTTGAGGTAGTGCGTTATCACCTTAAAAGTGTTAGCACTGACTAACCACTGCGGGTTTAAGTCGGGAACATTTTACGGGTTTAAGATGTAGGCTCTTGAAAGGTAAGAGACAAAGGAAAGTAAAGGCGCAGAAGGTAGTGGTCGAATTTTGTATGTACACTGGGTATATGTGTGATTTTCTTGGATGCTTTCATCGATATGGACCGACTGCGAGGTCTGTATTTCTGAGGGGCCATCTACTTATGGGTTATAACGTTAAGGAGTCACTTGAATGCGAAGCTGATGTCGCGGACAGACTGTATCCCTGGTCTTATATGCTGGCTGTAATCCATTCTGTCAAGGAGGATTTACATAGGTTTAGTTAGGTACCATTAACTACCGCGTACGGACGTGCTCACGAAACGCGCCTTAATGTGACTTGTAAATAATTTTATGTTAATACAACACGACTTTCTTTGGAGGTTTCGGTACCACGCTTCCTTCGCTCTTGAATCGCCAATGCTGTTGCCTGGTAAGGGAAGCGTCGTGGACAGGAAGACTAACAACGCTGTTTTTACACAAAAGCCTGAAAATAGTTGTTCCGTTAAAATGACGTATTTATCATTTTTCTGGTAAAAAGAAAATCTTTTGAGATGAATTTTCATTCAAATTTATTATTTAAAATTTTTTCTTTCAGTTTCTTTTATAATCACAGGGATAACTAAGAATTATTTCAGAATCTCTGACTCCATTGTGAAATTACGTCATACTAGGTTACAAATTTTGGTCCGAATTCAAATTCAAAATTATCGATCTAATTGTTAGTAATTCAAAGTCAACAAATTTATTGCGATCCAAACGCACTATTTTCTTTGAATTTTGTTCAATTTCAATTTCTCACGATCGGTGACCTCAAAAATTCTTTCAAGCGCCTTGACGCGAAAATTAATTTGTTGCATTCTTTGCAGTTTCAAAAAATTAAGGATAATGGAAATTCGTATACATATAATATACGTTAAGCACAAATACGTTAAGAACGCATGAAACACAATAGTTGCCTGATATATGCCGATTTACAATGGCCAACTTTGTCCTAGGTGAAATTACATATATCGCCCAATTACAAGACGGTCCAGAATACGAATATTACCTAAAAATGACTAAAAAAAAGTTACCGAACTTTTGGTCAGCTCCTGACGCGATTTTTTAAATATATTTTTTCCCAATGTCTCTCGCCAAATTCTGTACGCACGACTGCACTCGACATACTTATTTATGTATATTATCATACATATAGATACCAGCTTGGAATATTTTTACAAATAGCTACCCTTGTTGCGCGCACAAAAATATCGAGCACACTTTCAGCACGTCGACTGCTATTATTACCGTCACTCTCTTCTCTCAAATTCTCCGCTACTGTGTTTCGCTGAAACTTCCATAGAAATTAAACAAAGTGCACGCACGTGTTTAAACGTCACGCTACAATAATACTACACAATGCAAATGAAATCTTTGTTTGCTCTCAACAACTGTGCTAGTAACCATAACAACATTGGCGCCTATTGTTATTCACTGAGCAATGCAAAAGACCGATAGGCATAGCATATAGAAGTAGCCATTGGTATGGTAACGTGAGAAATCTTGACGTAGCCTAATATCGCAAACACACAACGAGAGTCACGCTAGCTATAACAAAGTAGTCATTTTTTTAAAAATATCAAAAAATATCAATTTCTGTTACGTTAAGAGTAAATTTTGTATCCACAAAAAAATCAAGTACTTTCTGCCTTTGCATTTTTCTTGGTAAAGGACTGATAGTGAAAGAATTTTTCAAAAATTTCAAAACCTATTTTTCAACCCTACCCTGTACCAAATAACGGATATATATCTTACTAAGAAATTTTTTAATTTTCTTTATACAAGTTTAAGTGCAACATCTTTACCCAGGTAAAATTCTCCGAAATTCTCTGTGAACCCTTACGGATAAAAGTCCCAAGTCGAGTATACTAAATCCCATCCACGAAAACATACGTCCGTGGGTTGCAGCCACGTGTCGCTTTCCACGAAGCAGCAGTCGGAAATAGAAGCGGTATAGAAGAGACGAAAAGTGACGTTAGACATTTCCAAATATTCGTAGAGCATCATTCACCAACAAAGTGAAAAATAACATTAAGACCTTAACGATCGATCATCGACGCGACTAAATCGGCAGATAAAAAAACAATTAAAAAAACACTACATAAGCCACCACCTTGAATGTACGTCGATATTCGTCCGATTAAGATTCTTTTCGAAGGTTTAAATTCATTATTCGTTATTTCGCAACGTGTCTCGTCCCACCGGTAAAGCGTCACGAGTCCGAAGGCAGGAGTAGAATTTAAATCTCACGGAAGAAAACACACGCGATCGGCACTCCCTCTACCCGATCCATTCGTAACAAATCGCAATTAATAATATCATCCAAAATATATATACCGTCGTCCAGAACGTTCTCGAGCCTCAAAGAAAGGAGCATCTGAAATAAAAGCGTCACTCGATAAGTTGCGTCTGGTGTTTGATAAAAAAAAAGTTGTTTTGCAGAACCCTCAATACATCGAGCTGCTAATCGTGAGCGTAGGGTATAAAGTCAGATCTACATGTATGTATATATTCGCGTACAACGTCATCAACACGAAGACTCGTACGTGTGCAGCGGCACGTTTCTGTACGCGCATAAATCGTGCACCTAACCTATTATGCATGCGATCAGTGTAATATAGAAATAGCCAAGCGTCGGAACGCCTCCGAGCAGTCGTATGCATCGCACGAAGTGTAGTGCACTGCCCTATCGACCGAGCAGAGTAACTATCAATTCGAGAGCCTAGAAATAAATGAACCAAGCTTCAGTAACCTGTCGAACGTACCCTCGTTTGGAAAATATTAATTTCACCATGCACCATAAAAACCCTTTGATACTTAAAGAGGTTAGTTACGTCGTGGACGGTAGGAATTTTTTAAAATCACCAGTAGCAGACGTTATTCTTGTCGGAGGTTAAATTCGACAAAACGAACAAGACTTATCGTTATTATAAAGCCGTATTGTCATAGAAGGTCAAGCACGTAAGACATAAGTACATTAAGAGACAATGCAAGCAGATACAGAGTGCATACGAACGAAGCTGCCTCGGAGGGTGGGAATATCATCACTCGAGTTAATCCACGTGTATCGGTGTAGTCATGTGCGTTACGCGTTGCCTGCGCTTGAGGTGCCGGATAGGGTTAGGTTAGGTTGGAATGATGTTCCATGCTCCGTCTCACTCTCTCTCTCTCTCGCGCTCTCTCTCTCTCTCTCTCGCGCTCTCTCTCTCTCTCTCTCTCTCTCTCTCTCTCTCTCTCTCTCTCTCTGCCTCTCTCTCTCTCTCTCTCTCTCTCTCCTTGCAGCCAACCACGTTTTCGTGTGCACGGACACGTTTGCTTATAAAAATAAGCCTGTGCGTATACACGTTTATTTGACGCGTGGGTGTCTGTGCGTGTTAGAGAGAGATGCGTATGTACTATAAGGTTGTGTCACGTGTTGTTTATGCGTTCTACTAACGCCACGCCCATCACCTGATCTCCCAAGTGATTCTCAAGCCGAGGATCCAGTAAGAGGGGCAAAAACAAGTTGAAGAAAGAAAAACAACTAATTGTAAGTATACCGTATCGATGCGGTAATTGATACTCTCGCGATATTGAAGGTGGCTACTGCATTTCGCATCTTTAACCGTTCCTAGTTGTTAATGCGAATTTACCAATCATGTACGAACAAATTTTTTTGTTGTAAAAAATATTCTAGCCTTAAGCCAAGACACGGAAAGGTGATATTGGTTTAAGTGGGATGACGTGTGATACATTAAAAGTAATAGATAACATGATTGGTGCATGGTGGTTAATTATGAGAAAAAGAAAATCAAACTATATAAATGGTTTTGGTCGACTGGCATAAATATATTTTAATAATCATTCCGTCAATCAATCTGTCACCACGTACAATATTCTTCCACTCGTACGTGTTCGAAAGCTGACATCGGACCCATGACGTTTTATACATTTTTCTATATTGTTAATTCTTTGGGATTTTTCACAGCTCTTTCACACCAGTCGTACCATTAGAAAATCCATTGGCTACTCAGGGCTCTGATATTTTAGTTCCTAGGAGCTGCATGGCGGGAAAAGGTTCCTTTGTAGTTAATGCTAAAGTATGATTAAACATTGGACGAGGGAATTAGTAGAGACAATAACTTGTATGATAACGTGTAATATAGGGTTGGACTGTGTGCCTAGTCACTTTCTTTGTTAATTGGTATATTAGGATAGCGAGGATTACGAAGACCCCTACCATTTACGTTTAGACGTACCACAGTCTTTTATTTAGCAATAGCACAGTGCCGGTCTCGTCTATGTATGTACATACACGATAGGACTGGCAGAGAGACTAGTGTACGTACACGCCGTATAAATTTAAATGCTGTTTACGCCGTATTTCCAACTAGTTCCTTCTACTCCAGCCTGCTCCAGCTCGCTTGTCCATTCTATAATCGCGAGGCCAACACTTCGGGTACCCAGACTCATCCCCACCAGTGGCCGTAACCAGCATGTCTACCGTCATGCTCGACTCCCTGCTGCTTTCCCCCACTACCGTCCCATCCCCGCCACGAACCGTCGATGCTCGGCCGACTTTGGGTTTTTTTTTTCGCTCGACTCTCGTGCTGCTCATTCCACTCTGGACCGTCGAACGGTTCGGTTGGGCCCTTTGCGCATGTGGATATACGTACATAGTATGCGAGGATGCTTCGGTTTGTTATGTACATTGAAATTATGTTTCATCGAAATTATGTCGAAGCTGGATTTTCTGTTTGAAATATTAATTAAGGAAGACAGATTGACACTCGGACACGATTTGGTGCTTTTTCTTAGCTTACTCTCTTTTTTTTGGACTGTATTTCGTCGCCTGATATACAAGATGTACTGTGCATGATAAAACCTGCGGCACACGCAGTCTTATGTTATGTCCTGTTTTGTTTTCGTTATAGTAAACTTTTTTGTACGTTCTTTTTTATTGTCCTGTGGATAAGATCAAATTGGTAATCGTGCGTGACTACCACGAGACCTGTTCCAGTGAATGTCACGACCAATAGTCTTTATTAAATGGACTGATGCTGAATCTTTCTGGTATTTCTGCCTCTACTTTTTATGTGCGCTATTGTACACAGAATATTTATCGTTATTATCAATATACGTCGTTCCAAAAGGACAAATGCAGTACTGTACATTTCAATGTTACGGAATAGCATAGACTTATTTTTTTACCATTAAATAAAACCTTTTACTCCAATCGTATTTCAATAAGACAGTTTTCATTTATTTTTAGATACGTCTCTTTCACAATATTCCCATTAATAGTGGGTCTATGGGTACAATGTTATTTTCTTTTTATACGTGGAAAATAATAATAACATATTTAGCAAGCCACATTGTTTTTAGTTCGTCAAGAAAATACATTTCACTCGCGAGCTGGAGTATGCGCTCTCATATATCGCCTGTTTGGACAAATAAGACAAAGGGAAAGATTCAAGGTGTTAGAATAAGCAAGAAGCTAAAGGAGCATCGTGAATAAGAAATATAACTAAAAAATCTCTGGAACAATGCGTAGAAGAAATAAAGAACAAGCGATCAGGAGTACACAGCAATAGATACCGTGGTTAAGCAAGTGCATAGTGAAGTCGCGACATCAGGGGTCTTCTTTACGCTATGGAACATTGTGCGATGGCCCCTAGTTTAAGAAGTAGGCACGTATGGATCGATCGAACGAGTAAAAACGACTGCGAATTCCATGTATTCTTATTCTCTCCTTCTTTTTGTGAATTTGCATCAGTAGGATTCGTCCTGCGGCCACTGTGGATGAAAAATATTCAGTATGACTATAGCCTTATAATACCATGTTACAGTGCTAGATGCTTTGACTATACCTCGTAAATGTTTTTACTACCGATGAAGATAAATTTATCTATGGCGCTCTTGCGGACTTGGCCAACCTTTTTTTTTTTTTTTTTCAAAAATCTACATCAATTAAATTCGACCCTTGTCTGACGTAATATTGTTTTGCTACAGTATTCTTTTGTCTTTGGTACAAGGCTGTTGAATGAATATATTTCTCGCACGATTCTGAACCAGTGAAACAATGACATATATTTTAAGCATGGTTCTCAGGCTGGTTACGTCACTCGAAAGTATTAAAAAAGAGATATAAAAATTGACCTTGAATTTCAATTCTTCCCCACTTACGAACATAACGCGACTCTACTCGGTGGTCGAATCGACTGGGACTTCTGATAATTCTTGTTAATTGTAGTTTTGAGGCTTTTGCGGTTATTCTGAAGATTTTAGATGCAACTGGAAGTTTCAACTCGCTTATCATAAACTAACACGATAAATGTAAGACGCTGCTTTAATTCGTAAACCATTTTTAACCAATCCTTCCTAATGGTTGCACGAATCTAAGGTAAACGAAAGATTAAAAATTTCCTAGGCAACTGTACTTTTGTATTATTTCCAATCGAAGAGCTATTATTTAACGTATACCCGTTATAGGAGACGATTTTAGTTTCCCTCTAAGACCGAACAGACTCCTTTTGTTGTCTTTCTTTACTGACGATCAATCATGACTTTTGAAAGGTTTTAAAGTGCAAGACAAAATACAACTCGCCTTAGTGGCTTTTTCTGCGGTATGCACTATCGCTTTATCTGAATATTTTACGTCGATGATGGATAAAGTTGATAAGATTTTTTTGACATAAAAACTCTTGACGCATTATTATATTCCTGTTCCATTGGAAATGGCACGATTATTATATTATCGATAATATGCATCAAATAATTCTGCGTGATTTATTAGATTTTTATATTAATTATTTTTAATAAAACAATCGATACGAATTTCACAAAAATACGATATCGAATATCCACTATGAATAAGATTTATGTAGTTTCGCCAAATTTTTATCCAGTCCAATTTTTCATTTAGCAAAATTTATATTCAATTTGTCCATCTACTCCTGTGTTAAAAAAATATTGTTGCTCATTGTCGAATTATAACCAATCTTTATCAACCAGTTAGGAATTTTTTTAAATTTCGACAAATTTTCATTAATTGTTCACGATACGGTCGTAACTTTCGAAACATTTTCCATGCATTCTGAACTCTATTTATTATTTGTACTACTTCCAGGCTTCGGGTACAGAAGCCCAGTACGCCCTCTGCGTTTATTTTCCTTCCGTATTTTTACACACCATGTGCCCAGCTCGCCTCTTTAACTACGCTCTCACATACGTGTCTCACATACGGTACATTTTGTTTTCATTACGAACACCATTAATGCTACTATCGCTACCACCTATGGCTGATATTAAATAGTTACTTGCCTTACCAGCAACGCCTATTAGTATCGGTGGTTAGTGTTCCGCAGCAGCATACAAGATAGATTATGTATTTTTATACAAAATATGATATTAAAATTTTTTATAAGAATTAACGGTTTTTCAAAAATTTCTATTACATATTATTTGTATTTTTGTCAATTTACTAACGTTATTTCGCAATATCATTTTTTCATACTTATTTAAGATTTCAAGATATGTGTATACGTATGTATGTATAAGAATCAAAATTTCATACGGAAACTTCAATAATCATCAGATGGTTTAATTCGCTCTGGTTGAAACCGGAAATTTCGGTTGCTTCTCCAGCTGATTTTCATATATTGTTTTTTACCTGATTACGTTTATTAACGTTTATCATAATTAAAGGTCACGAAAAAAAAGCAGAATCCATATACCTCATCAATATGAAATTAACTAAGTAAATGTATCAATGACTATGACCACGTGCCAGTTACTAGACAAAGTGTGTGTACAAGAGAGACGGAAATATAGTTTCTTATGGACGACCAGGGACTGGGACCGAAGGTTAGGTGTTCAGCCACTGAGACGTTTACCTTACTGTACCTATAAGGAGTACAGATTAGGAATAAATATATTCGAAAATTTTTCAAAAAATATTCTTCATTGTATTCGTGTTACATTAGGTTTTTTTTATAGTTGTCCTATAAGATCACTCTTTCCAAGGGGCCACGTCTTTATGAGTTTTAACGTGAAAAAGTCCCCTCGAGGGACACCGATGTCGCAGCTGTCGTGCTTCCGTCTCTTGAAATTCAAGAGTTGAAACTGCAGTAGGTTTTTACAATGATAATATTTATTTATCATACACCGTAGCATTATCGAGAGAAAATCTCGAAGACGTTGATTCCATATGTTTTAGTGTCAGATTGCGTAACATATTAAACTATGACATCTATGATTGGTACTAAACAGCATGTAAGTACAGCTTTTTCATCTGATGCTAATATTACGAAATGCCATAACAACTTTACTGTTTGTAAGTTCTGGAGGTTGAGATTACGTTGAAATATATCTATAGCGCGCACGTCGTTCTACGATACAAAAGGAAACAGTACGTATGTATACATCGAGTTTTCAGTATTCAAAAAATTCTTTACCCTTAGAATCGAATAATTTTGAATTTTCGGCATACCCAACTCTGAGAATAACACTGACAATAAATTAACCTTATAGTAAGGTATAAAATGTAACGCGCACGTCACCGATATCTATATTAAACATGTGTACTATTAAATAATTTCGTAAAAAAAAATATTTTTTGAATACATTCAAAATGTTTTAAAAAAAGTAACACGATGAAGTATCTAGGTCAAGGAAGAAAAAACATCGGGGAAAATATTTTTCTATCATTCAGACGTTGGTGAGCGTCAACGTGTTTTGTGAAAACGAAATGGGCAAGGACCGGATGTGCGTGGGGAATAGATGCTGGGTTAATCCGAGAAAATTCAAAAATAATTTTTTGTTAGCACGGCTTACGAATTCTATTTGAATCAGATCTATAAATTCAAGCACAACAGAGATTCGATTAAGAATTCATTCTGATCAATTTAGGACAATGACAGAACGTGTGACGTAGGTCAGGATTTATGGATCGCCATTAGGTAGCTGCCAAATATTTTTGTTTGCGTAAAATTCAACAGATGAGATCAGCTTTTTTGCACTACCTTATCTTTCATATGTTATCGACTTTCTGTCTCTTGGCAATGACAATAATGTAAAATCCGCTGTACATAAATTATTTTTTCTTTCTCTTTTATTATGGTGACGTTTTATTATACCGAGATAATGAAAAACAATTTTCTCAAAAGTGTCACCTGCTCTTTGCCCCGTTTTGCTTTTCCTCTAACGTACCTCAAATTAAGAAATCAAAGGGAGCAGTCATTTTTTGGTGCCGTGGGGCGAGCTATTTTAAATATTTATTTCTCTATTTTTTTTATTGGTCGCCATATCTATCTCATTCGATAACGTTCGATTTTTATGAATTCAAGATATTCGAAGATTTTATTTATAATTTTTTTTTTGCGTAGGCGCCATTTTCATTTTAATCGGTAATATCCGTCTTCGTAGCTTCTTCCCTGTGCAACGTAATGCGCCAAGCGTCGGACTGGCCATAAAATAATTAACGTAGAGGAAAGAAGAGGAAATAGAGAAATAAGGGTCAGAAGGTTAAGAACTTAATGGTAATGACAGTTCCCTAAGGATAGAGAGTAGTGTGTGCCATGAGCGCAGCGAAAAGAGTCAACAACTCCCTACGCAACAGTCGAACCAAGTGGCCATTTCCCTGCTTAAGAATTAAGGCTGATTTACGTATGACGATGCTCGTGACGAAAACAACAACAATTTGAATGGTGGCGACCAGGTAAAAACCAAAAAAAAAAGTAAAATTTTCCAAATTAACGCAACTGTCAATTTCGAATAATTTTCTTGGAAAGCGAATAACGGATAAAAAAATTAATCCCCGTCCAATCTTCAAGATCTCAGTCACCAAAGAATAAATTGGCACGTCATATTTTCAAAATTGAATATCCCCACAGACCTGTCATGTACCAGTCAATTTTGATGCCGTAAATTTTTCAAAGTTATACCAGCAAAATGTCTTTCAGGACATCTCACGGCCGTCAGGTGGGATAATAATTTTTTGAATTTTTATATTTTCCCGCTTAAAACATTCGTAACCTCTCCTCGGCGTAATCAGGATAAAGGATTAATCGTGAAACACACACGCGAATATGCCGGAGAGAAGAGAGCAAAGCGGTAGAATAATAATGCAGGTCGTCGAACTCAAAGTTCACTCACACGTTGTTTGCCGATCCTGTTCAACTCTCGCGCAGGCACTCTTTCTTTTTTTCCCTCTTTCTCTTTCCTTTTGTATTTCACTTGCGAGCGAGCGAGACTACGTATAATGTGCCACATGCGAATACAGCCGTAAGTACATTGGCATCGCATCTGCTAATCTTTATGCGTGACTCAAGGTGAAAGTTTAGCACGTGCATATCGCGTATTGGCAATCAGTCAGCCTAATAATTATTGCTTCCCCCACTTGTTGCAGCTCTTCGCTATTTACTCAGATGCACACGTCAACCTCGCACTCGTATGACACATCGTGTCATTATGTTTAGGAGGTATAATTACGTCATACAATTTTTAACCTTTTTTTATTAAAAAAAAAAATTTCGACATCCGTTTTGAAAAAAAAAAGTCATGAAATTTCTCTTTGACGATCGCAGGCTGTTGCTGTGCTCAATAATCTTTCTTTTTTTTGCTAACTGTAAGTGGATTAGTGTATCCAGCAATAAGAGTAAAAATTAATGCAACCTCAAAGGCAAATACGTCAAGCGCGTTCGCACTCGGAGCAATCATCAAAGTAAACCGGCTTGTGCAACAAGTATAAAGTAAAAGCATCGATCAAGTGGGTGAATGACTGTTGGGATATTTAC